CTCCGAAAGAGGTTTCAGCCTCTGACAGGCATCCTGAGCCCTGGAACACCGTAAAGACTCACGTGTGAGGAAGGTGTTCTAGCGGGCCTCCCTTTTCCCTAAGGGAAAATATCCTTCCTCTGCTCTCAGTTCTGTACAACTCAGCCTTGACCCTGGGGCTGCTGGGTAGCTGTGAGACTTGTGTCAGGTTAGGCTCAACTGTGTTATATTCCTATACTAAGCTGATCAGTTCCCAGTTCCTGACTTGCTTTGTTGAACACTCCAGATTTAGCTTACTCTGAAGTATAAACAAAAAGAGAAGTAAAGAGTTGGACACTATGTCTCCTTTCAAACTTTGCAGTTTGTTTTGTGATCTTAATGCTTTTTGCTTATTTTATTTATTTTGTTGTCTTTCTGAGACAGGGTCTCACTATACAGTCCAGGCTGGCCTTGAGCTCAGTTTGTAGCCCAGGCTGCTCTCGAACTCGCAATGATTCTCCTACCTCAGCCTCCCAAGTGCTGGGATTACAGGCGTGCAGCACCCCACCTGGCCTTTTTACTAATTTTAAAAAGCAGGGAACTCTGAAAATAGCTATTCTGATTGACTGTCTTTTAAATGCTTTATGAAACTAGTATGAGCAAAACAGAACAAACTCCAAGATTTTGAGCCACTGGTTTATACAGAACTTACAATGCTATGGTAGACAAATACTAAAAACTACATCTAAAAATAAGGGAGGAAAGGGAAAGTAAGAAGGTCTGTTCTTCTCACCTTCAAAAACACCAGGAAATGGCTTCCCATTTGTTCTGAATTACATTGACCTCTGGCTGGTGCAGTTACGTATGGATGGGTAGGTGTCCCAGTCAGTATCATGGTGGCAAAAATCTCAGTGCCTACATCCTGGCTCTTCTCTTTCCCAAGTACTCACAGAAAGTGGTGGCTTGAGGCAGGAGTATCTGGTGGGAGTTACATAGTCCCTGGTCAAGAAGACTGTCGCAGATTACTGTAAAATCTGTTCCATTCATCTGTTTCAGCTGGTCGCTACTACCTCCACAAGGTCCTTCTCCTGTGACAGAAGAGGGAAAAGGTGCAGAGGATCATTGGGTCTCACACAGCACTGCTTCCTGGAGTAGAGATGATCATGATGTCAGAGGCAGTGCTGGTAGTAACAGTGGATGTGCTGAGGCGAGGGGAAGTTGCTTGCTGAGACATGGCTCTTCAGTTAGAGCCGATTTTGTCTAGATTCCTCTTTCCATGTGGAATCATTTTGGTATGAAGACATCTTAGCATACTATGTAGTATTGTTCTGCCAGCTACAAACTCACTGAGACATGTGCAAATGTCTTTATTTAACATGTATTTTTGAATGATATTCTGGTCTCTTCCTCTGCAGTTCCCAAGCAACTACTGATATGTTTTCTGTCACTATAAAGTAGTTATATTTTCTAGAACTTGATATAAATGGAAAATACAATATTTATTCTTTTGTTCAGTTGCCTTCATGCAGCACAATAAAACTTTCGGTTTCTCCATGCTGTTAGTAGTTCATTCCTTTATATTGCCTGGTAGTATCATAGTATGGCTATGCCAAATTTAGCATGTTGATGGACATTTGGAGGTTTTTATTTACTACAAATAAAGGTGCTGTATTATATACAAATCTTTTGGAAATATGCTTTATTTTCTCTTGAGTAAATACCTAGAAGTGGCATGCAGGTCATGTGGTTAAGTATATTTTTAGCAAACTGCCAAAGCATCTCCAAAAATGGTTGTTCCTTTTTACTACATTCTCACCAACTTTAGTAAGCAGTCGGGGATATGCAATTAAATAAGACCCTCCTTGCTTCCGTTCTTTAGCTGTTTGTTGTACATGACCACAAACTGAATTGTAAGTCTTGGAACCTAGGCCTTCTTGTGGTGGGCAAGAAGCTGTTCTGGAGGTGGGTTCAGTTATTTGTCAGAGAATTCTGTGGCGCAAGGAACTGGGAGCACAGTCTGAAGAGGGAAACTGTGGCCTTGGTAGGCATGATTGTTTGGCTCAGAGGGTGTTTTTTTCCTTTCCTGTGTGGAAGGTGTGCCCAGAGGACGACCACAGAATGGCCCTATAGTGTATGGAGCTCAGGACAGCACCTGTCTCACTCAGGTCGAAAACAGTACTGTCCCTTTCCTAATATGTCCAGATCCTCGCCGTAATAATAAAAAAAATCCACCTTAAGTCCCCACTCCTGTGTGTCCCTCACTGTGGCAGTTCCAGGCATCTCTCAGTTGTGATTGCCTTTTTCTATGTCTCATTTTCCCAACTTACCTAAGACATTTTGAGCCAACCACTTAATCTTTTTTCTGTAAATGTGTGACAAAGTAGTACATATACAGATTCATTTAAAAGTGTCTGAATGAGTGCAGTGCAGGGTGGACTTGGTTGGTTTTGCTGGCCCCTGGGTTGTGTCAATCTTGAGGAACTGCCCAGCTTGCTCCCCACGCACCCGTGCAGTGCCTCGTACAACCAAGCTGCACTCTGAAGCTAGCTCCGAAGCTGGCCTTCATACTCAGTTGACTAACAAGATAACACTCTGTACTTGTGCTTTCCTTATACTAATTCGGTGTCAGTAGGGTTCTTTTGGTTGACCATTGTCTTTTGAGACTACTTCATTGCTAACCATATAAGCTCAGAAATACAAAGGTAATTTTTATCAGGTTTCTGGTTTTCCTGCTATGAGCTGTAGTCATATGATAAACATTACTGGAGACCCTAGCCATAGACACTTCCTGAGAGCGTCATGCCTCACAGTGTACTAATAGGTGAATTTTCCCCCTTGATGTGCTCTTTTTATCCTTCTCCATCTAGACGACGCCCTACAGTCTCTCAAAACTCAGTGACAGCCTCATTTCTTCCTGGAAGTCTTCTCTTTTTACGAGATTTTAATTAAAGTGCTTTTCTCTACCGTTTTGTAGCCCATTCCCTATAAACCTCTCATAATGTGACTTTTAATTTGTCACTCTAGATTGAAAACCTCATGAGCCACAAAATCACTTGACTTCATGCTAGCATAAAACCTTGCATATAGCAATGCTCCATTAGTGGGTTACATTACTGAATGAATGGAGTGCCCTTTTTATTTATCTTGTTCATTCTATGCTCTCTGCATATTTCCCTTTTTTCTTCTTTCACTGTTAGACTTCCACAAGTTTATAGAAATGAAGCAAGGTTTGTGACCTTTTAATTAGTTTTCTTAGCTCTAAAAAATGTTGGAAAATGGATTTTGAACCTTAGCAAACAAACTGAAAAGGTTTAAACATTTGTTCATGGATGTGGCAACGGCAGATGTCACAGGCATCCATGGGGTTATTTACCATTCCTTGTTGAGGAATGAGGCCTCTGGGCAGATCTGCCTATCCTAACAGCAGCAGATAGATCCTGTCATGCCGAGACGTTAGGTAACTGGCTTTCCCAAGCCCCAAGGGCACCTGAGATGCCACATATGGGAGCCAAACATAAAAGTACTGTATTAAAAACTTCATTGGCTTGATTTATACCTAAAATCTTTTATAGAGATATTATGAAATAAGAAAAATAAAGTTCCTCACACACGGGCCAACAGCATTAGGTGCTTGAGAATGAGTCTTCTATCCTTATCCTCTTTCCCAAGCTTTCTAAGGTTCCTAAAGACCCAAATTTCCTTTGAAATTCTCTTGGAATCAAAGACATGGAGAAAGAGGCCGAGGGGTTTGTGCCAGTCATCAGTGTGTACACCCCTCCTCACACGCTAGTGGTGAGCTCCTCCTCTGTGGCACTCGCACTGTGAGAGTGAGATGCTCCCAGGGTCTCATCTGTACTTCAGCTGTTGAATCTAGAGCTGTTCTACGTGAGCTTCCCAAGGCCGGCACACTCAACTCACAACCAAGGACCAGTCTGCTGGCCCCAAATCCTGGAAACAATGGTGCTGTGTCTCTTCTCCCCCTTGCTTGAGGAGGCTCTCCAGACCTTTGTAGCAGGGGTAGGGACTCCTTCGCAGGTATTTTGAGGAGAATAACAAATGAGCATAAATAGCCAGATCTGGTTACCAGAGGCCAACTTAAAGATCTTAAGATTCTTAGCAACAGTATTCCAGCCCCACCTGGACAGGAATTAATGTGGAACACCCACATGACATTCTTTAATACTAAGTAGAATATGAATATATATATTAAATATATTACTAAACATAAAGGAAATAGAAAAATAGCCATAGTGTTCAGTTTTCTGACTTAAAAAGCAAGTCCTCTTTAAACCTGTAGATCTGGCTCCCTGAAAAATAATGCAATTGAATTTCCATTTAAAAGTTGCCAGCCGTGGTGACACACGCCTGTAATCCCAGCACTTGGGAGGCTGAGGCAGGAGGATTATTGCCAGTTTGGGACCAGCCTAGGCTACAAAGTGAGCTCAAGGCCCCTCTGAACTGCATAGCAAGACCCTGTCTCAAAAAGACAAAAAAATTTTAAAAAATAGAAGTTGCATTTCTATTCTGCAGCCATAGACTTTCTCTGGTGTTCACACACAGTTGTTAACTGTAGCAAAGGAAGTTGCTTATGGGACAGCTTTGCCTCTAAACGTTTTTAGAGGTAAGTGGAATTGAGATCAAAAACCCTTCAGTGTTTAAATGCACTAAGTTTGTTTTCCAGGACTCCTTTTGCCTAAGGAAATGAAAGAGGAATTGTTTCCTTCTTAATTTCTCAAGCTTATACCCAGTGAGGAGCTGCACTTTTTTGGCCACTTTCCTTAGTCTTTGCACTTGAAGCTGGGACCCTTGGATACCCTATAAATACGTGTTGGTGAGAGCTTGTTTTAAGATTTTTTTTGAGACAGGGTCTTGCTGTGCAAGTTCAGGTAAGTCTTGAACACACTGTGGAGCCCAGGCTGGCCTCAAACTCACGGCATTCCTCCTGCCTCAGTCTCCCAAGTGCTGGGATTACAGGCATGCACCACCATGCCTGGTCTTAAGAATTATTTTTAAAGCACTTAATTTTTTCTTTTTCTCTTCAGGAGCATCTAAAGGCCTTCGATGATGAAATCAATGCCTTTTTGGACAATATGTTTGGACCGCGAGGTGAGTGAGCTACTTGAGAACTTCACGTGGAAAGAGCTTAGGAAGAATGGCGTGGAAAGGATTAAGGGCTTATGTTTTCTGATGTGCTGAGAATAGTATGGAATGTAACACTTAGAAACTTGAACTTCCTTCCTTTTTGATATCTGTCTCCCAGAACATCCCGAAGACCCATTCTTCTCATGCGCAATCTCTCCTGGGATGAAAGAGGAGCAGGAAGCAGGAGCACATGAAATGTGTCATTTGCCTCCAGTATCTCTCTGGCTACAGAGCCAGGTTGTGGCTTCCTTCTAAATTAGGCTACTTTCCTCTTCTTTCTCCACTGCCCACCTCCTCCTTCCTTGGACGTGCAGTCACCTAAGAATTCCTGCCCTTCCACGCCACCTCAGGTTCCTTTGACCATGTGTTACCTTGCTGTGCTTTGGCCCATTGGGATAAACAAAGCAGTCTTCAGTATTTCCTCCATCACCAGTCACTTGGACTGCAGCAGCCTCCTAACTGGCCTCCCAGCGTCCAGCCATTTATTATTGATATTCTGAAGAACTAAACCACACTCTGGCACAGTCCCTTCCAACTCACCAGTGATCCCCACTGCCATCAGGGTGAAAAGCAAACCTCGGCATGGACTCTGTGCACTTGAATCATCTCACCCCCATGACCCATCCCACTTAATGCCAGTCCTCTTCACTCACTCTGCCACAGCCGCTTGAGATTTAATTCCCCAAATCCATACAGCCCTTATATGCTGTTCTGAGAGCCTGGGATTCCCTGTCTCCCCCCTCTGGTCAGCGCCTTCTCTCCCATATCTCAAGTATCAGATGTTACTTTTGCCGACAGCCTTTCCACGCAAAAGCAGGCCTTCTTATTCCATCACCTGTTTCTTTCCTCCCCATGCCTCCTTGTGGTCCCAGGTGGGCAGGGGCCAGGATGCCTTTACCGAACACTTACCTCCAGAGCTGACCGCGGTTCTGGGACCACATTGGCGCTATGTTTTGCAAATGAGTTATAGACAAAATGTTCTGTTTCACTTAAGCCTCACTGGTTCACAGAGCTGTGGAAAACTCATAGTTCTTTACAAGTTATTTCCTCAACGCTGTTAGAGGAAAGAGTGGAGGAAGAAAATGAGGTGGTTCTGTTTCCAAGAACCTTTGACCACTTAGACATTATTTGCCCCTTCCCCAGTTTCTGTACAGGCTCTGTAAACTATCCCAAGAGAATGGCTATTTATATAGCTTTAACATGATACTCAGTGTACAGCTTTTTAAAAAGTACTGTCACATTCATGTTTTCCTCTGCACCCTATTGGGTAGGCATGGCGGAATCCCTGTGTCAGTACAATCCCTGCAGTTCTGGCGGGTGGGGCGGAGAGCCATTCAGTACAGCAGGCACAGCTCCTCATGCTAGACCCACAGGAGCTATGATTCCCGCTGACTGTGGCACTCTCGTTAACACTCCCACCACAGAGTTAAACAGCAACTGCTCGGAGCCAAGGTCACCCTGACCTGTGCTGTCAGTGAGATCACTGTGACCTGGAATGGTGCAGATAGGGGATGCTGGAGAGAGGATTGCAGTTGTTTACTCAGCTTTGCTCATTTGCGTGGACATTTTCCTTTGTACAAGGAGACAGTTGACAGCTGGTTCAGATGTGACCTGCACAGTGACCGGATGTCTAGCATCTAAGCCATCAAGAATCCTCTTCCCTCCCTAAAAGAGACTAAGCTTAGGTTGGCTGGCAGGACATCTAGTGAACTTCTAGGCATCCTCTAGTCTTTTCCGGTTTTGTGCACAGCATATCAGTACTTCAGGGACATGCCTATCACAGATGCAGAGCAAAGAAATGTTATTAAAGGTACTTGTTCCCATGCCTTCTTTGGAGCACTTAACTATAATTAACCCTTAACTGTAGCAGACATTTATTGGAACGTGACAGCAAAACAAAAACTTTCAGGTGCTGTATTCATTTGGCAATATGTGCTTGACTCAGTGTGCCAGTTGATATGTTTTTAATGACTGTCTCCTCTTTAACTCAACGCTGAGTGGGTGTGACACAAGAGAGCAATAAGACCCTTCACTGTTTGATGGGACATATACTGTCACTGGGGAGGTAAACTTAGCATATCTGAAATAACTGGAAAGCAATTAAGTACTAAACCACATTTGTTCATTTCCTAGAGCTACCATAGCAAAGTGCCACAAACTGAGTGGCTTGCAGTAGCAGAAATTTATTCTCACAGTTCTGGAGGCCAGCAGAATGCTGGCTGGAGCCTGCCCTCTCTGAGGTTGTAGAAGAATCTGTTTCAGGCCTCTCTCCCAGTTTTGGTGGTGACCAGCAACTTTGGTGTCCCTGAACTTGCAGACAGTCTCCCCTCTCTACCACCAGCTTCATATGGCTTTCTCTTTGCATCTCTGGGTCCAAGCCCCACTGTCTCAGTCCTACCCTTACCCACTCTGACCTTTTCTTCACTTGATTACATCCTCAAAGACCTCACTTCCAAATATTCGTAGTCACAGCTGTCAGAAACTAGGACTTGAACATATCTTTCAGGAGGCACAGCTGAACCCAGAACACTATTAAGAAGAGGCAGGGTACAAGTTTAGTACAAGTTAAATTTTTTCCTGTTGCTCAATTTTTCTAGAAGTAAACTGGCCATAATACTATTGCCTACTTAATAGGATTGCTTTGAGAATTAAAAACATTAATACATGCAAAAGCCTTTAGATAGTTTGTGGCAAAAAAATAATTTTTATGCAAAGGAGGAGTTGTAGTTATGAAAGAGCAGTAGGAGGTGGCTCCCTTCAGAAGGCAAGTCCTTCATCTGGGCATGAATGGAGGAGCAGAGCTTACATGTGGGATGGATGTGAGGAAGTAGCATATGGCACAGACTTTTATGACAGGTGATTAGGAGCCAAGTAGGTAAAAGGTAGCATCTGAATCACATGGATGCTGAGCTTTTTACCTTTTTATTTTCATTACTAGTGGGAGATGTTTATAGAATAAATAATGGGACAGAGCTGTAGAAGGCACTATCCTCCTAAGAACAGAACTGTCAATAGGATGGGTGGGTTAAGGAAGGGTCAGAGTAAGACACAGTGTGGAGTATGCCAGTATGGGACTGAGACTAGGGGTGAACCAGGCATCGAGGCGGCTTTGCCAGGCTGGGGTGTAGCTCAGTGGTAGAGCTGTTGCCTAGCATGCATGAGGCCTTGGGTTCCATCCCCGGCTCCTCAAAATAAAGGCATTGCCTGATGCTTAAGTTAAAAACAGCATATAACTTTTTAAATTTTGAACTATGTTATTTTCTTTAAACAAAAAGACCAGAAAAGTCATTTGTACCTACAGTTGTTTTCAAGTGTTAGCAACTGTATTATAGATGTATTATACAGGTTTTATTTAGTCTTTTATTTCATTCTTTAGAGGGTCTTGATGTAGCCAAGTTCCTGCCTCCCTGCGGTTTATGCTTCTAGTTCTTTGGCCAGGTTTGTACTTTCTTCTTGCCGTTCTGAATCAGTTCCAGGGTGTTGTCTCTGCTGGCTTCAACTTCCCATGCTTCCTGTACTATAGAAGTTCATTGCAGGGGCTGGGGATATAGCTCAACAGCACAGTGCCTGCCTGGCAAGTGCCTGCCTGGCAAGTACAAGGTCCTGAGTTCGATTCCTGGTACAAAAAATAAAAGTTCATTGCTCCATTTGGATTCATAAACCCACTCCTGGTTGACCGCGTAATGACTCTAGGCATATTCTGGGCAATGTGGGTTTTAGGAATTAGGATACGACGTTAGTACCATATCCTGTACCTACACAAATCTTCCCCATGGAACACCAGCAATGAGTCATGGTCTCGGGGCAGAGGTAAATTCAAATCCAGACTCTACTGCCAACCATTATGTGACTTTCTGCTAGTTATTAGTTTTCTGAGCTCTTTTATCCATAAAACGGCACCGCAGTACTTAATTCATATTGAGTTAAACTAAGCAAATGTAGTAACTCTTCCAAAGTGGACATTCAGTAGCTTACTTCCCATTTGTATTACTTTTGTCATTTGGTGTTCAGAGCTTAAGTACTGTTTGCTGCATGAAACCTTCCTTAACTGTTCAGCCCATACTGGTTTCCTCTGAATTCCAACCCAAAGCCAGCTTAATGCTGTATCGGTCAGCTAAGTACGCTGTTGTGTTGTCAGGTCCTCCTTATCTGCAGTTTCATTTTCTGTAGTTTCACTTACCAGCGGTCAACTGCAGTCTGAAAATATTAAATGAAAAACTCCAGAAATAGGAGCTCATACATTTTGAATTGCATACTGTTTTAAGTAGTATGATGAAGTCTCTGGCTTGTCCTGATGTACCCAGTGTATCCATGCAGTCTATACTACCTGCACCTTAGTCACTTAGGAGCCTTCTCAGTGGTCAGGTGGACTACACAATCCACAGTTCCTCATGTTAAAGTAACCCTATTTTACTTAGTAATGACTCCAGCATGCAAGAGTCATTTGGATACTTATACTGGCAATTTGGATATGGCAAAGACACACCTAACATGCTTTCTTTAAATGAAAAAGTAAAACTTCTCAGCAAGGAAAAACTCTAGGGCTGCCGCTGCTAAGATCTATAGTAAGAACTGTGAAGGACAAAGAAATCCATGCTAGTTTTGCTGTTACAGCTCAGACTGCAGAGTTATGACCACATGCATGGTAAGTATTAGTCAAGATGAAAAAGGCATTCAGTTTGTACAGGGAAGGAACGTAGTGTGTGGCCGCCACTGGGGGCCTTGGAACGTATTCCCTGAGGGTCAGGCAGGCTGCTCCACAAACAACACACATGTGACAATAGTGCTAACTGGACAGCAGTGTTACTCTTCAGGATTCTCCACATGTGCTTCTTTGCAGATGCCCGAGTCAGAGGGTGGTTCATGTTGGACTCTTACCTTCCTACCTTTCTTCTAACTGTCACATACCTGCTTTCAATATGGCTGGGCAACAAATATATGAAGAACAGACCTGCTCTTTCTCTCAGGGGAACCCTCACCTTGTATAACCTCGGAATCACACTTCTCTCTGCATATATGCTGGTAGAGGTAAGTGTGTGTGTAGCCAAACTGAGTTGGTAATTGAGTCATTTCAGAAGCAATCTTATCTGGCCTAAAAGACCTATCAGTTATTGTCAGTACTGGTCTTTAAGACCTCAGCCACCCATTCCAGGAGCTGGCATTATTCCTTCCCAAAGTTCCAGAAGTCCTTGTTTCTAACTTGAGTTTTCCTTACCCCAGTAGAGGTCTATTTTTTAGTCCTTAGTGTAACTGAAGTTTAGAATTGCAATTTAAATTTGAATGGGCTTTTAAAGATCATGTGCTGTAATTTTCTCCTTTTTATAGATAGTAGTAGTGAGGCTTAGAAAGGGTAGGTAATTTTCCTGAGAATATATAGTGATAGCGTATTTTAACTTAAAGTCCAATTCATTTAGCCCAACAGGGTGCACATGTGAATGTTGCCTTAAAAAACACTCTGGACACCTTTGAAACAGCGCCCAGGGCTGTAAGAAGAAGTAGTGATTGCCCTGCCTATACAATCAAAAGTTATTTTACTGTGTAGTACCGGGGGAAGAAGTACTAACTTGCTGTGGCAAAAAATGAGAGACACAGACAGATGAATAAAAATAAAATCTTTAAGTTAGGAGAAAATTATTCATACAAGTCATGAATGGCTGGTGATGACACAAGTCCTTCTACCATCCTTGAATTAAAAAAGAAAGCAAATCTTTGCCTAATGGTTAATACTATATCTTAAATGTTTGGGATGACACTCTAAGGGAATTTGGCATGAGAGTGCAGGAGATACAATTTGGGGTCAGGAAATCCATGCTAACAACTCCAAAATCCTATCACGTAGGTGCTCACTAATGTACCTGACACTGTATTGTGTTAGCATAAAAACAGACTACAATTCCTTACTATAGACCTGACCATAGACCTTTTAAGTTAATCTTTGTGCACAAAGTTAACCTGCTTCTTAGTTTGAAAAATAAACCAACCAAAAAAAAATGTGCTTGTCCTTTAAAAGACGCTGTTAGATCCTGCTAGCCCTTTACTGGTCCCAGTCAAGAACAGGAACATAAATCCCCCAGCAGGGACTGGGGAGTGACCTGATTAGTGACAGAGCCCATCAGGCAAGTCCAGCTTTTTCCTCTTTCACGGGATTCATCTGTCACGATCTTTCATGATAATACAGTTAACTAACAGATCTTTTGTTAGAAGAAAAGAGAAGTACATCAGAACAGTGAAACCTCACAAAAGTCTAAAACATTCTAAATGTTATTTAGTAGTTCATCTTTTGAATGTTCAGTTCAATATACGTCTTAATACAGCTATGCATTTCTGCATCTATCAGGCAGTAAAGAATACTAGGTATTTTGCCTATCACATCTTATGTAAATCAAAGCTAAATAACTTATGCTCTAGACTTTGACATTTTTACAAAAGAGAACTTCTTTTATACAATTTTCAGCAAAGAATAAAAAAACTCATTTTCTCATGATGTGGAAAGAACAGTAAACAATGAAGTAGGAAGTCTGGATTCAAATCATCATTCTAAGCGCAAGGTCGTGAGTTCGGTTCCCGGTACCGGAGAAAAACAAACAACAAAAAAAAAAACAAATCATCATTCTATACTTTCTAGCCGTGTAATTTTTTTCTTTTGAGGTACTCGTGATTGAACCCAGGGCCTTCAATCTGAGCTACATCCCTTACCCCTTTTTAATTTTTTAAAAAATTTTGTTTTAAAGAGAATAAAAATTTAAAAAACATTAAAAATAATACAGAATTTCAAAATAAGATGATTTGAATGGGCTTTTAAAGATTATGTGCTATAATTTTCTCCTTTTTGTAGATTAAAAGTTAGGTAATTTTCCTGCCTCAGCCTCCAGAGTGTTGGGATTATAGGTGTGTGCCATGCCCAGCTCCTCATATTTATTTATATTCAATTCTACATTTTCTTGGTAGAAAGGGAAGACTAAACAGACAAAGTTTTGTTGCTCAAATGATAGTGAGATCATGTTACTTTGGGCCAATGTAAATGGTTACGAGTAAAATATATGAAGGACTATAACTGTTAATTTCCGTTCAGCAATAAAAATTAAATCCCTTATGTGTTCTGAGGATGGGATTAAATCAAACTCCATTTCTGGGACACCTCTACTCAGACCTTGGCTTGATGCAAGAGATGCGAATGGGAAATTCAGTTTGCGCGCAAATTCTTGTGTTGATTTTCCCTTGTGCTTGCTTCTTTGGCAGCTCATTCTGTCCAGCTGGGGAGGAGGCTACAACTTACAGTGTCAGAACCTTGACAGTGCAGGAGACGCCGATGTCCGGGTAAGCACTAGAAAGCATCAGCATCCAGAGCCATTTCCCACTGAAGAGGCAGCGCTTCCTCCCTCCAGAGGGAGGATGGGCTGGGACGAGACGCACGGGATTCCCATCCTAAGAGAAACACAGGGCAACAAAACTGGCTGCTGACGGGAGGTGGCCGAACGGGCCCTGCACGCTGCTTACCGGGGGCCGCTGCAGGCCGATGAGGACAGCCTCTCCACCGTCGGGAAACTGACTCCGGGCTTTCTCCAAATGAAGCAAAGCGACTTGCAGACCACATTTTGTGCAAGAAATGATCCGTGAATTTACTTACAGTACTTTTAAAAAGGAACAGTGGCAGATAAACTGAAAGCTAATTGGGATAGGGAACAGGACAGAAAGAACAGGAATAGAAGCTGGATTTCTCTGAGTATACCCTATGCTATATTTGTACTGGAATCACTGTGGTTTTTTTTTTTTTTAAAAATCAGGGCAGTCTCTCCTAAAAAAAGTTGGAAACAATCTAAAGTACATAAACCTATATAGTGGTAGTGTAACTTTATGGAAAATTGTTCAAGGGATCTTACAACGGTATTTTGAGTGGACATCTCTAAGGATATATCTTAATAGAATTCAGTAATTTTTTGGTTGCTGTTGCTAATACTGGTTACTGCTGTTCTGAGACTGTTAGATATTGTAGGATGAAGAAGGTGTATAATGAATTAATATCATTAATTAAGCAACTAGTATTTAAAAGAAAGAGGTAATTATAAAATAGTAAAGCGTACTGTAAACATAGATACAAACTGGGAAGACTTAGCTCAGAAAAGGCCTAGTTAGTCTGTGACAGTCCAGGGCAGTGAGCCAGATCTGCTCTCTAAATATAATTTTCTACCAGAAAGAGTAAGGGCTCTTAGAGGAGTTAATTCTCATTTAGGCCTGGAAATGTACTTAAGATAAACCCAGGAGTTCTTACGACCCAAAGCAAAGATGCTCTCCATGACTGGTATGGTCAGGACAAGAGAAGCCACCTTAGAAGGACACTCACTTGCTGGCTAAAGACAGGGCAGTTTGAGTGTTAGAAAGATACTAAATATATATGTTCAAAGATATATGTTTGAAATGATACTTTTCATTGAAAAATCACTTACCTTGTGAGGGTTGCTAGAACACTAACTCACTTGAGAAAAAACGGGAAACAATTAAACATTTAATTGCCATTTATATGTGAGCTTCCAAATGAATAAACAAGGCAAGTTCTGTGTGGAAGAGGAAAATATGTAAGTAGAAACAGAATCAGAAAATCACACTTTGCATCTGCATTTGAAATAACCCATCTAGACAGCAGTCAGCTGTAAGTGACGAGGCTGCTGGGTGGGAGCAGCGTAAAGACTTCGTAGTGATTTTTAACACGTGATCTCACCGTCGAGTCTGAGTGTTGGGGGAACAGCTGGGAGCTGTGCGCCTTCTGCTGTGCTTCAGGAAGAAGCACACGGAACCTCGTGTGAAGCAGTCTCACCAAGAGAGAAAGAAACGACACCTGAATCTCATCTCAGTGCTTGATACAGAGAATGAAGGACTAAGGAGGTGGGATTCCAAATCCATATGTTTGGAATTCTATGCACCTGGTGGTTTTGTGGGGGAAAAAGGGAGGAGTGGGAACTGTTACTGATTAGAAACTTGAAATTTTTGTGATAGTTGGGAAAATGTGAACATACACTATTGGAAGATATTAAGAAATTTTGCTAGACATGATAATTACTTCATGGTTATGTTAAAACAACCGAGAGTCTGTCAGGACAGTTTACAGGTAAAATGATCTTGGATTTGCTTACAATGCACACTCCCCCCTCAACCCAAAAGAAACTGGGAATAGAGAAAACCACGTTCAAATCATACTGAAAAGTCTTAAAGTTCACTGATAGACACACAGTGCTCGTTTTATTATTCGCCCTGTATTAGTACAGGTTTGAAAAATTTCTGTGATTAAAGTCTGTAATTACCAATAAGCAATGGTATAAACTATTTAAAATCTCATTAACCCCTCAGTGCCTAGTGATAAGTTCTTAGAATGCTCCTAACACACACAAGGAAATGCTTATTCTTCAAGTTGTTTTCCTTGAATTTTGATAGATACCATATATAACTTTGTACAAAATTTTTAAAAATTTTAATCTTCAATATCAGTGGGTTAATGTACATCAAATATACATTTTAAAAATATCTTCAAAGCTATAATACAAATAAGATGTGTCAGTTTCCTTATACTCCTTTTACTGTAATTTGTTATCACAAATCAGTGCATTTTGATATACCATACAATTTTCTAAAGGTGACTTTGTATTTATTTGTGGGTTCATATTTCTGCAGGTTAATTATTCCCTCAGACATTAAGATAAATGCCACTGCTTCATGGGTATCTTGGCAACAGAGAGAATAGCATAATATTCTAATCTCAAGATTCCTACTGTGTAACATCTCCAGAAATATCTCACATGTAAGAGTTAGTGTTGAAGACACAATGCTCTTACCTGAAGAGGTCTGCATGAGGAACTCTAGGGGGAGACTGGTAATTCCCTATGACTGTTAGGATGAAAATCATCTTGACTTTTAGTCTTTCGGTCTGAGGATAAGACATAAAAGATGTGGTCATAAACGGCCCCTGGCTAAGTTCAAGAGACAAACACATCTACCTTAGAGCCCTGGAGAAAACTTTCAAGTTAATGTAACAAACTGAAATGACCCCCAAGGGGCTGGGCAAAGCTGAGCTAGATGTCTGCCTCCTAGTGGATTGACGGATTCGGAACACTCCCTGCACTGTGTTAGGGTTATCTGCAGAGGTGTGAAGTAATTTGAGAATAGAAAAAGCAGCTGGTTCTGTCTGAAAAAGGAGAGGGGAGGGGTAGGTAGCGTTCCAGAGGGGTGGCAGCATCTAAGAGAAGCACCCCAAAGGGTGGCCAGCCCCGAGGTAGGGGAGTGCTGGACAGGGAAAAGAGCACTCAGCCCTCGGGAGGAGTGGACCTGGGTCCCCGGGCGCACGCGAGCTTGGCCGAGACCGGGCCGGCACAAGGGCACAACTTGATCATAGGAGTCTTGGTAGTCCGCGTCCTTCAGCAGAGCGGGGTGAAGACACCGCAGACAGGCGCCGGATAAGCAGTATTTTCGGTGGTCAGAAAGAAACAGAGGGCGCCGAGTGCTCAGGTGCGGGCAGCACAGGGGCATCTTCATTTCTCACCTTCTTCCCTCCTTTTGAAAATGCCTACAGGTAGCCAGAGTGTTATGGTGGTACTACTTCTCCAAACTGGTGGAATTCTTAGACACAATTTTCTTCGTTCTACGAAAAAAGACGAGTCAGATTACCTTTCTCCATGTCTACCATCACGCCTCCATGTTTAACATCTGGTGGTGCGTTCTCAACTGGATTCCCTGTGGACAAAGTAAGCCCCCTTGCTGGCCTTCTGGTCTTCAGTTCTGTGGGCTGGGTTCACGAGACCATGAGGGTGCCTGCTCTGGAGTGGGCATCCCAGGGGCACCGTGGGGAGGGGCGGCCGCAGAGGAGCCAGCCCAGGGGCAGCAGGAGGAAGGTGTTTGCCAGCGGCCTTTCCTTTCCAGTGTGGCAAGACCCGCGTCTAACCTTCAGCGGAAACTTGTCTCCCCGCACCATGTCAGGGTGTGCACGGCCCAGCCGGTGCTGCTCTGCCTCTGGAAACGCTGTGCCTTCCACGGCCTCCCTGGGACTCAGTAGTTCAGTTGTTAGGGCTTTTTGGTTTTACATTCTGGAAAATCAGAGTGACACCTCTGGGTGACCCACCAGAGCAATGACTTTGAATTTTTTTCACTAAGAACTACAAATAGTGTGTTTATTCATATACGTCATATGAAAAAAGTTTCACCAAACAGTATTACCATGGCTCTTCCCAGTGCACTGTGGTTTGTTTTTTTCAATCCTGTTTCACTTTTACTAAAAGGTGATGGCAGTTCTCATGGCATTGACTTCATAGTTCCCTACGAGGTTATATAGGACCTGCAGTTTGAGAAGCACTGAGCTAAAGGCAGCAGTACTTTCCGCTGTGTGCTGTCCCCAAGGATTTGAAAATATTCTATTAAAAATCAAGACAGGTGAAATTTAAGAGAAATGATTTTGTCCAAAGATTTAGGATTTTGTAGAGATGACAGAAAAAAAAAAACACCAAACACACTTGGTGTATAGATATTCCTTGACAGGGGAGTCACACCCACTAAGCCCATGGTAAGTGGAAAATAACAGGGGTCAGAAAACTTTCCTGCACCTGCCCTGTGAGCATCCTGGCTGGGCCACTCAGCGCACTGCCAGCTGTGTCCCCGCTGGGCGGTGGGCGCTTTGGTCACTGCCAATGCCTGGTGTCACAAGAAACGATCAGACCATGAACTTCTAACTTGAGGCAAAACTGACGTTTAAAATCAAATTATGGTTTCCACTGAGTGTGTATCCTTTCAGATCATCAGAAAGTTAAAAACTCATTAAGGAGAACCATTACAAGTCAGGGATCAACTGTGTATCAGTGGCTGTAAAGGTCCAAATGGAAACTACAGCCTGAAGGAAACTTCTGGGGTACAGTGGGCAGAAGGAAATGCTTCCTACACTCCTCCTAGAGGGACCGCTCTTGTTCCTCATATTCAGCTATTACGGAAGACTGATCAGTATCAGAGGGGAATCACCAAGGTTAAGTATTTTTTTATAATTGCCAACAGTTTCATTACAAATTACTGAGCATCTAAAACTTACCCAAATCATCACTTAAAAATAGTCCTGTAAGATATGTGACAATTTTCATTAGTGTATAATAAAAATTACAAGCACCAACTACTCATGTTCATTAATCGATAGAAATGAAAACTTGCAGGTCAGTATCACTAATATTATGCCACCTGGTGCTCTGAAACTACATGTGTGTTTTTGTGTAAAGGCAAGCGTCGTAACAGCTTACTTTACTCAAGCCAGCGTGTGTAGAGAAGTTACTGCACACGTGACAGCGTACCTTTTCCTGTTCACTGATTCGCCTTTCTCCAGCCAACTGCTCTCGGATTAGTGTCTTAGTTACTTTGCTCATTGCTGAGACAAAATACCCGACACCCAAAGTTAAAGAAGGACGCTTTGTTTGGCTTAGTTTGTTTGGCTTAGAGGTTTCAGTTCATAGTTGACTGGCTCCAAGGCAGGGTGGCATGGTAGAGGGGTACCACAGAGAAGAAACAGTACATAGCAGGCAGAAGGTAGCAAGTGGCGACCCTCTTTCTGCCCCTTACATCCTATCCAGGCTACCCACTGGGTAGCACTCACACTCAGGGTGGGGCACCTTTAATCCTAGCATCACACATCCTAGATCCAGCCACCTCCAAAAAGCCCGACCTGTGACCCCAGTGAGGCTTTGGGGAGACATCTAGATACAAGCCGTAACAATTAAGAAAACCAGGCTAGAGAATTTAACCAGCAGTGCAGCACCCTTTAGTTCACCTAGTATTATCTGTTAGTCCCATCACAGCCTCAAAGGTAGTTATGATTATACATACTTTCCAAATAAGGATACTTTTTTAAAAGAGAAAATTAAAATTTACAGTCAACAGCAAGGAAGTTAGGCATGATGTCATACTCCTATCATCCCAGCACTCGGGAGGCTGGGGCAGGAGAATCACCACAAGTTTGAGGCCCCGCTGGGCTACATAGTGAGTTTAAGGCCAGCCTGAACTACATAGTAAAACCCTGTCTCAAAAAAAGAAGAAGAAAAAAATAACCAGATACGCAACTAAGTGATCCTCTAACACATCTCCTTCCATAGACTCGATATAGCTCACAGACCCACACAAGTGGATCCCAGCCTAACACTGGGAAGGCTTTCACTAAATGCTGAGCACTGCATATACTGATTCTAAGCACTTCATATACTGATCTAACCCTCACCGCAGGGAGTGCTCCATTTCCAGTAACTAACCCTCTGTGGCATCTTACTTCTTGAATTTGAGTCCTTCTGGTAGTTAGTTCACTTAATGCTGGACACAGCCACCTCCTCGGTTGGCTGAAACACCAGGCACCCATGTTGGCATCAAGTAGAAAGAAAACTTTTGGTGAACATGCTACCCGGGGACGGGGTTTTAGATAGCCCTGTCCTAACTAACAGTCCTTCAGATGGCCCGGGAACTGGGAGGGTCTCACCCTGCTGGACCCTCTCCCTCCCCCAGATCCTCTCACTTTCCAACACCATCTGGCTCCTAAGTCCCTTAAGATAGAAATTGGTGATGTATCGGTGAAGAATATGTATTCTTGACTCTGTAGCACCCTGGTCAGCCATGTATAAAAGACTCTTTTGTTTGTTTTGAATTGTGCTAGGGACTGAACCCAGGACCTTGTGTGTGCTAGGCAAGCACTCTACCACTGCATACATGCCCGGCCCACAAAAGGCTCTTTCTACAATTTAAATGGCTCATCTGGAGTTTAGTCAAAGCAAAAATAGCTCTGTTTTTACAGAATTCTGCCACTAGCTTTAAGCAAACATTTCTTTTTGATTAGCTGACAGTAATGACAGTAAGACAGATGCTAAAACCTCTGCAGATCAATTGTTTGATTGGCACTCTGGCTGAAAAACTGTCCTGGTTTAATCCTCCTATGTAGGCGTTTTTATGGAATCCTAGAGTAATAGCACAGAAAGTGGGGGATTCATCAGTGTGAACATTCCATGATTGTCCTATACCTACCGTGTCATTATGATGCTCAGAAGAATCACTTGAAAAAGGATGCATAGTCTTACTGTCTGAAAGTATCTCTTATACTGTATTTCTATAGGTTTTTTTGGACCAACGCTGAACAGTTTTATCCACATCCTTATGTACTCCTATTATGGACTCTCAGTGTTCCCGTCGATGCACAAGTACCTCTGGTGGAAGAAATACCTCACACAGGCTCAGCTGGTACGTCGTGTCCTCTTCCGCCTTCTCCATGTAGCTCATAGATGGAGGAGAAAACCCCATCTCCTCAGGCAGCAGAGGCTTCACGATCTGTGATGAGGCTCTTTTTCTCTGAAAATGGCCTTTTAAAATTATACTTTGTGTGGGGCCGGGGATTTAGCTCAGCGGCAAAAGCGCCTGCCTGGCAAGCGCAAGGTCGTGAGTTCGGTTCCCGGTACCGGAGAAAAACAAAAAAAAAAAAAAAAAAAAAAAAAATTATACTTTGTGCATTAAAATGTCTTTGAGTATGCAGTCAGCTTATAATGGAAAGTTCCTTGCTTTGAAATGTAAAAATGAGTATTTTTAATGTCGAAATTAAATTGTTTTTAAATGATTTTAGCGACTGCTTTTTGTGAAGAGTTATAAGGGGTAATTTCATTTACCAATACTAATTTCAAATACAATTTCTGGAGAGGGTAGTGGGCTACTTTAGTCCTCTGCAGAACGCAGAAATAAAAATGCAGGTGACGGTAGCTGCTATCTGAACCCTCTGGTCTTGGCCTGCTTTACTCACCCCACCCCCTCCCCCAGGTGCAGTTCCTGCTCACCATCACGCACACGCTGAGCGCTGTCGTGAAGCCCTGTGGCTTCCCCTTCGGCTGCCTTATCTTCCAGTCTTCCTACATGATGACCCTGGTCATCCTGTTTTTAAACTTTTACTTCCAGGTACGTGAAATATCAGTATTCAGTGGTCATAGATTGTGTGCTTTTGCATTATGTATTTAGCTTTACTGATTAAATATAGTAACAGAGTTTGTGGATAAATTCACATAATGATCTACAAAGGAAAAACTAAAACTTGCATGCTTAACTCCTCTCCCTACACACTCCTCCTTGAAGAATAAGCACAGCACTAGTAACAGTCTAGTAGGCATTCTGTTAAAGGCATGCACTGAAAAATGTTTATCAAAACCACCAGTGACCTACAGTTTTCAGTTTGTGTCATGCATTGTTAGCGCTGTGCTGCTAAATCTGATGAAATCTTAAGGGTAAATGAATGTAATAAGACAGTTCCAGGAAAACTGACATGGATGGAGAAAACCCTTGGGAACAGTAATTTATTAAATTCACTAAGCCCATATCAGCTACTTTGATGTTGTAGACTCACTATTTGAAAAAAAATCCTTTAACATGAATCAGAATGGGAAGGTCACATTGACCTGTTCTTTATTCTAGTGTCATTTTCCTTAAAATTAACAATTTAAACGGGAGAGGGCTCCAAAGTGACTTTGTTATCCAAGTACCTATAAAAAATATGACAGAGCACAGGCCTCAGCTGGTTGTGATTGTAAATTGCTTTCCTCCGTGACCTGGGGATACAGAAAGCTTCATTAAAAAATGAAAACATGCATTTATATTGAAAACAGTACTTTTGAAGCTGTATTCAACTGTATTTGTTTCCTCAGACAAATAAGTGCTCTCTGATTTTTCAGTTTGCATTTGCTGAAAGTTAACCCACAGTGGTTTTATATAGTTTGGGAACTTAACTTTTGACAGCTTTTCTGATCCAGTACTCTATGTATCTGAAATGGGGCTGACTAGGCTTTTACTTTTATAAGAGAATTTCGAAGAAGTAATCATCAGTGAACCCAAACAAAGACACATACACACAAAGACACACTCACGTTAAAGGGAAGCCTCGGGAATGCGTTTAGTGCTAATGCTGGAAGAGAAGCAGACAGCAGGGGCAGGTCACGGCACTGAAAGCTTGAACACGACATGATGGTTCACACTGAATTTTGGTCCTAACACTCGTGATATAATTTCAGCCTTGATCCTTATTAATACCATCACTTTGTTTTTTAAATGAAAATGAGATCAGCTATTTTGACGAAATAGGCAGGCTGTGTCAGGTGGGGGTGCAGCTCAGTGGGAGCCCTGAGGTCCTGGCTTCAGTCCCTAGCACCAGAGGAATAGATCAAAAGCCAAGGCAAGGCAGAATCCTGAGTGTTGGTGCTTTCAAAATGACAGCATTGTTCACTTAAATTATATTTTTAAAAGTACATTCTTTGCAAGTGAGCAACTAAGGCAGAATAATTTGAATGCTAACCCCATGATACACAAATCCTGGCCTAACATGAAACCTTTCGTTGACTTCAAGCATTTATCTTGGTTTTTACCTTATTTTTATCTTTTAACCAGAGGCGTGTAGGTGGTCATATTACAAATACGGATTCTGATTAGAAAATCCAGCACCCAAGAAAAACATATACTTTTTAAACTATCTTCAATGTTAAAGTTCTTATTAAGGAATCTTTTTTTCATTTTTCTCTTCAACATATACACCAACCCAACAGACATACCGGAAAAAGCCAGTGAAGAAAGAGACAAAAGAGCCACGTGCAGAGAAAGAAGTCAGGAACGGTCTTTCCAAAGCCTACTTCCCTGCAGCGAATGGAGTGATGAACAGGAAAACACAATAAAAATAGAGTAATGGGAAAAGCAGACACGTTGCACTAGCCTGGCAGATTCGCTTGTTTTAAAGCAAAGACTAAATTGAAAGTTGTTATGTTTTAGCATAAACTAATTTCTTTTTGCGTTATAAATCATTTGTACTCAGAATGTACTACTGTATTGCCATTAGGTTACTCTGTTAACTGAATGCTTTGGTCAGCACTGAGTGAGGCTGGACTCTGAAGACCTCAGAACGAGTGCATCTTTCCCTCCCACCTTCCCACCCTCCCACAGAGGCGCCCGCCCGGAAACCGACTCTGTGGAGCCCTACACGCATGCGCAGCCAGGAACACGGGGCACTGCTTTTCATGGGAGGTCTCCAGATCCTCAGACTAAACTGTGTACCACAAAATGTTAATGAGATTGTAAATACAGGCTATGTTCTAGTCTACATTAAGCAATAATTATGGGTGCATAATATTGCTTTTGTTTCTAAGCAATATTAGAATCAACCCTAGAAAATATTTAAATGGGATCATAAATAGAAGACAAGTCTAGCAAAATCTCTCTCCTTCAAGTCAGTCTTGTTAGATTTGCAAAACCACTTCTAATTCTACACTTAGTGATACTGTACTAAAATTTTAGGTATTCTAAGAAGAAAAAAATTTCTGCCAAATCCTCATAACTCAGGGGCTTTGGATAGGAGTCATTCCTTGGTTTTAATTTGATCTCCTTAATTATTCATCCATTCCTGCCTACCTCCCATGATAGTGAGCCTAGGTTAATAAAGACGTTCTTTATACTAAAACCTGTGTTGCTATCTGGCTGCCCATTAAGGACCACAGTCCAATAATCCCTTTCCTTTAGGATGTACATGCCACTGGAATATTAGAAATAAGATTAACAGCAGTGTGGACAAGATAAACGCTGGATTTGTCAACCGTTTCTTGTGACCCCACTAATGAATATTATCCCAAACACTTGCTATCAGTCTCTGCAGCTTAGTTTTTGAAGAGAAAAAGATGTACTTTGGAAAGATTTCGACCCTGAGCCACGGGCAGGTTATGAACCACAGTGAAAATGCCTCTCCCTGCTCAGAACTGTGATCTCTGCAGAGAACCCAGCACAGCCTGGGGATAGCATTGGTGAGTGTTCCCTTTCTCCCCAGTGTTGGGCCATTCCTTATTGTTAAACCGTACTGACAATAAAAACAAGTATTTTCTAAAGATTACACCATATAAAACAAGATTTGCCAACTTTGACACTTTTTATCTCATTTTTTTAAAATATAAGTTTTTATGTGTGAAATTAACATCAAATGTGTGAGCACTGGAAAGGCACTTTTACCATTTCCGTAAGAACAGTGCCTTTCTACCCCTTTTTTAACCACCCATTTCAACTCTGGTTTTAAATTTTCACCGTTGAGAGGGTGACTTTTTAAACTTTTACTTCATATAAACTACCCTTTCTCAGGACTCTGGCATGTATTTTGAAGGTGACTAAACTTAGAAGTCTTCAGGGTAAATGCACTGTGCCCTGCGACTCACTTGTACTAGCTGATTGTTTCTGTTGAGCAGAGCTCTTCCTGACTGGTACCCACATTTGTCTTCTGAATGGTTTTCTAAAATTGACCTGCCCTAGGTGCTTATCATCACCTGCTTCTCTTATCATTTACAACTATACCTGTACTTTTCCAGGAACTGATTTTGAAACTAGGGCTAGCTTTGACCATATTACACTTCTATGACAGGACCCAGATCAGACAGAGAAAGTCCCTTTGCGAAAAAGGACTCGAGTCCCGTTTTCTTTCTCAAACACAAAGCCAAAATGTGTTACCGAAGTGCATTCTGGGTAAAAACGAGACTCAGAGGAGACCCACATCATTGGTCATTGTATTCAGCCTATTTTTCATTGCCTGTGAGACCCCACAATCTCACCACACATCATACCTGCAGCTTGGGGTGTTTCCATGGGCTTCACGTCTATGTGGCACAGAAACCTTCAGCCAACTGACAGTCACGCAGCTGTCAGTACCGGGCAGCTTCAAACCACTCGGATCCAAGTGAAAATCAATTCTAGTAAAGCGTAATGAAAACACTTAGAGCCTTAAACCATCCAAGGGCTGATAGACACAAGAGCTATGAGATCTGAGCCACAGAAACTGAATCAGGTAAGTATGTTAACCTGTCATTAAGTGCTATAACATCAAAAAACCAAAATTTTACTTCTATTGTGATTTTCCTGAAGCAGCTGTAAAAAAAATTGCTATCTCTGTAATCTGCTAAAAATGGATACTGTCAATTTCCTCTTACCCCAAGAATGAAAATACTTTAAAAGACACTACAAAGTGGGTCAATAATTCCCTCAACTTTTAAAACAAAATGGATTATCTGGTGAATGAGATTTAACAAAAATTTTCAAGCCATCAAACATATATTGAACTAGTTAGGTATACTGATGAATAAAGTTCTCCCCACCCCCTCAGAAAAATATTTACTTTTAGGGGAAAATTGTATTTACTGTGATGAGCAGAGCAGCATTTTATGTGTAAGTACCATTCTAGTTCTTCCCAGTATTTCCACATCATTTTGAATGTTTATAGGGGTTGCCTACTTGGAAAGTAAGGATATGACCTTTTTGTTTTCTTTTGAAAGTACCTGTATCATGACTAGAATGGACAGGGAGGTAGGAAAAGCCATTTTTCTTTGTAGATAAAAAGCATTCTGTATGATTGTTGTATAATAAATTGATTTTTACACTAAAAACATGTTATGATTTTTATTATGGTCCAAAGAAGTTAAAATATGTGTCTATATGGTGTTCTAAATGATCACTCAGGGAGTTTTTTCAATAAAGCGATGTTTTAGCAATTAATTTTAGATGTTAACTCTTCATTTCGAGATGGGCTATGTAACATTAGTATTTATATACCAAGTTAAGGTCTTTCAGAAGATGGTCACTCATAAGAAAAACTCAAGACCAACTAGCTAAGCAGAGGATGCAGTGTGTATAACACCTTATCACATGGTATAGGGTGGCCCCGGGAGGAGCACTAGGTTTGAGGTAAAATAATAGGCAGAAACCCTATTGAGCAAAGACATTCTTCACTGAGAGCCTCACCGCAAGAGGCAGCCCCTCTGCACAGGAGCAGGGATGTAAAAGAGCTGAGGTGGCCATGCTGAAGCTAGGAGAGATGTAAGTCAAGGGAGTGGATCAGAATCACAACCAGGCACTTTGGCAGTGTAGAGTACTTTTGAATACGATGTTCAGGATAACAAGACACAGGTTCCAAAGCATAAACCATGTGCTGAACATGTCAGTTATGAAGCGACAAACTCCTGGGTAGGAACGGCAGTGCAGCAAGGCTGGTTCAGGACACACAGAGAGGCAGGGAGGCATGAGACTATTCTACCCATCTGAACGGGAGCTGGATTGAAGGGTATGTCTTGGTTACTTTTCTCTCATTGCTGAGACAAAATACCTGATGCCCAAAATTAAGGAAGGAAAAGTTTATTTACCTCACAGTTTGTGGAAGTTTCAGTCCATACTGGGCTGGCTCCAAGGCAGAGTGGCACATGGCAGAAGGTAACAGTTCATGGCGGCCCAAAACAGCAAAGACAGCAAGATTAAAAGGGGGAAGGGAAGGAGCAAGCCTCTTTCCCTCCCTCATATTGTATGCAGGCTGCCCACCCCAGGGCAGTGTAGTGCTCACATCCATAATCCCAGCATTGGACTATGAATCACTCAAAAACTCTAGAAGCCCACTCCATGACTGTGTGAAGCTTTGCAGGAACATCCAGGCACAAATCGTAACAGGATGGGAAGTGAATAATGTGAAGAGCTACCACCTCAGTTTCCTTCATTATTTTAAACAGTGGGTGGAGCCAACTTTGTTTTGTTTTTGAAACAGGGTCTCGCTCTGCAGTTGAGGCTGGCCGTGAATTCACTTACGTAGCCCAGACTGATTTTCACATATTTAAGAATAGCTCCTCTTAGGGTCCACAAGACAACAACTACTCTCAAATGTGAACTACAGTTGCCTAAATACTACTTAACCTTCAAGAAACATGGCTCTGAGTCCTGGAGTTGGGATATAACAGCTCTGAACTTATGGGTCGTTTTCCCATGTTAAACTGTGCTGAGGAAACCTTGGAGTACCACTAAGTGGACAAGACAATTTGCAAATCATTCTGGCTGAGCAATCTGTCAGTGCAATCTTTATGGAGCTGGGGAGGAACCTGCTATAAATTTGTGGCTGCATCATGTTTGGCAGATTGATGAGGCCAAGGTCAGCTCTGCCCTCAAAGCCCTCTGCATGTACCTTGAAGTCTCCAAGCACTACAGTAGGAAACTACCTGGATATCTTGAGACAGAGCTTGGGCTCTTATATTTGCCATCTTACCATCTCTCATCATTTTTTTTTTTTAAAGAGAATAGTACATGAGACACAAACAAACAAAAAAATAGAACAGTAGCGGCATACCAGTATCATGAACATAAACAAATCAAAGCAAGAACATTCAAAGGGATACAGGGTTTCAAGACAAATTAATACAAATCAGTAGTGGTTGTTACATTACATATCACTATCCTCAACTACATTGCTCAGATTATCAGATGTAAGAATGAAAGATTGCTCAAACCATTAAAGAGAATAAGAAAATAATTCTTCAATAAAACATTAGAGATAATAGTTTCACCAGACAAGATGGTAGTTCACCATTGTAATTCCATTGCATATTGTTACCTTCAAATCAGTTGCACAGTCCACCAGACACAAGCATGCAAAATCAATCAGAACATAAAAAATTGTGAGCATTAACTGTTCATTTCAATATACCACCAGACAACAGCAATACAGTCATCACACCTATTCATATATTTATGTTTTGCCTTCTTTTTCTTCTTCATCCCAGTCGTTCCTTCCTGTGAGCAATTTCTTTCTCTTTCCTATCATCAATTGTACGTTTTGAGTTTTACCTAGTCTTTCAGGTTCCTACACCAAGGAGACAATATGATGTTTACACACGTGGGTCCGATTTATTTCATGTATGAGTATGGTCTCTAGTTGTATCCATCTATCTACAAAAGCCTCAAGTTTATCTTTTTTGATAGCTGAGTAATACTTCATTGTATAAAAATACAAGTCTTTTATCCATTCCTCAGTGGATGGGTGT